TTTTGGATTTGATTTTAATAACCAAGTAAGATATATCAACATATAAAATAAATAATATATATATTATATAAAATAAATAATACATATATCATTGATCAGACTATATCATGTTGAAATTGAAACAAAAAGGAGCTAATATCATAAATATGGAGAAACCATGAAAGTAAGTATAGTTTGCGTGACAGGGACTGGAAAGAGCCGTGGAAAAATCATTGGTCAAAATTTACTACTTAATTGCAGTTGTATAATACAGTGCAGAGGAGCAGAACAGATTTTAAGAGAACTGTTATCGGCTATAAAGCACCGATATTTGAATTTACTTCATGTATATTTATCTGATACATATTTGACACGATATTTTTAGATATTTTATCGTGTCAATGAAGTATTCTACTTTTTAAAAATATTATAAAAATTTTATTCAATTATGATATTCTTAGATATTTCACCGATACTTATTGATGATACGTATTGATAAAGTATTTGAATTTTTGAAAAATTATGAAATATCTATTACAGCTAAATAAAATATCTAAACATATTTAATATAGAAACATAGAAATATTAGTTCTTGATGAACTGAAAATGAAAATTGTCTTCTATATAGATAATTTTAAAAAAGGAATGAAATAAGTAATATTATTTTTATTTGTAAATAATAAAAAGTAATTTATGATGAAATGATTTATAATTTATTTATTTTTAGTAATGTATAATAAATATGTTTTTAATTTGAATTTGCAAAATAACAATTATATATTTAATATTTATGAATTTTGATCAAAATTACAAGTACACAATTATTATATTATATAAACATTGATATATATGATGATACATATCTTATAAGTATTATATTCTATATATTTTAAAATAATTGTATCGTTTTATCGGATATGTGAGCGTATCATGTCGGTGCATTATAGGTTATTGGTTTTCTTAAACACCAGATCAGATATGGCAGAACATGTCTACTCTTTTTTTTTTTTTTTTGTTGATAAGCAAATAAGATTTCGTTACTCCAGTGGCGGTGCTATCATGCACAAATAGCCAGAGCCTGCTCCAAATTCTTCACAATAGCATCCATGGTTAGTGTTTTCCGACTCAAACAATCGATAGCGGTATTAGCCATTAACATCAGTGCCCGTGCTTCATTCACATCCGGTGTTCCAACCTTTGAATCCAAAATTTTCATCCAATCTTTAGCCCAAAACTTCCTCAAATCTTTAAGCAAAATATCAGGCTTTGCAACGCCCACCATTCTTAAAAAGGTCTCTCCACGTAAGTGAGAGTTGAATTTAGGTCTCCTTCCGGTTAAAAGTTCAAGCAGTACAACTCCAAACCCATATACATCCCTCTTTTCTGTCAACTCATTTACACCATCGTACTCGGGATCAATGCATTCATCACATCCCGTTGTGTTCTTCATAAACGTCATTCTAAAATCAGACACTTTCGCCGTCCAACTGGCGTCAAGAAGAATGTTGGAAGACTTCATTACTCCTCTGTGAACATATGGAACCGCATAGTTTTGAACATGTTGTATTCCCCGGGAAGCATCCAAAGCAATTTTGATCCTCATTTTCCACGAATTAAACACACTGCTATGCTTGTCATGCAATTGATCATACAAGGACGCATTCTTCATGTACTCATACACCAAGAACCTCTCACCATTCTCTTGACAGAGCCCAACTACCCCAACCAAGTGCTTGTGGGGTGGTAGACGGGACCAGCTGGCCAATTCAGAGTTATTTAGACCCTTTGACCAGAAACCATCACTTTTGATTGCCACCTCACCACCATCAAAGAGTTTGCCTCTGTAGACATCACCAAAGCTTCCAACACCAATCTTGTTCCCAACTGAGAAATTGTTGGTGGCTTCTTTAAGCTCACGCAGGGTGAATAATCGTGGAAAAGTATGGAGAGGGGATGATTCAAAATTTGACATTGACGATGGAGTCCTACTCCTTATGGCTCTGTCAACTCGGGAATCAAAACTAGGAAGAGGGGATTCTCCCAAATTTGACGCAGTCTCACTCCTTATCATACTATCTACTCTCCAACTATAACTTGTTATTGCATCAACTCTCATTTCAAAGCTCTCAAATTCATCGCTATCCATTTGATTTGTCACGTGAAACTATGTATGTGCTTTGGAGGAGGCGTAGGGAGCTACTGCTGCTTTAGAATTAGACCCAAATATAAAGAGACCAAGGGAGAGGGAGGGGCAAACGCGTATTACTTGAACTTGAAAAGAGAAGCTGCGAGGCAAGGCCAGAGATTAAGCAATTTCCTACTTATTATCCTTCATATTTTAAATGTTGACTATACACTGTTCTAGAAATAACTCAAGATACAAACAAGTATGAAACATTACAAATGATCATATACAGTAAAATTAAATATTCCATAGGACAAAACTTACATGTATAGATTTCTCCATAGTACACCCAATAGGAATCAATAAGAACCACTATTGAAAAAAAATGATACTGATCAAAAGCATTTAGTCAATGATTACGGTACTAGAATGGAGAGAGGTGTGAACACTAGGATTGGTGAAGGGAGCCGGCACGCAGATGCAGTTGTTTATACCATTAAAGAAAAATGTTTATTTCTTCTTCATACAATTATAATATAAAAATAATAAGCATGAATGGGTCCATTGAATCGCTAAGGTGAAGCTTCTTTGGCCTTTCCTCACACCTTCGCTTCTCTTGGTTCAACTAATACGCGTTGTCCCCTCCCTCTCTATGTACTTGGGTCCAACACTCCTCCAAAGCACCTACATAGTTGATAGTTTGACATGGCAAATCAAATGGATGGTAGCATTGACATGACATTTGATGCAATAACAAGTTATAGTTGGAGAGTGGACAGTATGATAAGGAGTGAGACTGCATCAAATTTGGGAGAATCCCCTCTCCCTAGTTTTGGTTCGCGAGTGGACAGAGCCATAAGAAGTAGGACTCCGTCGTCAATGTCAAATTTTGGAACATCCCCTCTCCATACTTTTCCACGGTTATTCACCCTGTCTGAGCTTCAAGCTGCCACCAACAATTTCTCATTTCACAACAGGATTGGTGTTGGAAACAGCGGTTTTGTGTACAGAGGCAAACTGGATGATGGTGGTGAGGTGGCAATCAAAAGGGGTGGTGAATGGTCAAAGATAAAGACTCCATTCAACTCTGAATCTGCCATCTTGTCCCGTCCACCACAACACGAGCACTAGGTTGAGGTAGTTGGGCACTGTCAAGAGAAAGGTGAGAGTTTCTTGGTATATGAGTACATGAAGAATGGGTCCTTGTATGATAATTTGCATGACAAGTACAACCGTGTGTTGAGTTCGTGGAAAATGAGGATCAAAATTGCTTTGGATGTTTGCCGGGGAATACAATATCTTCTTAATAATACAGTTGCACATGTTGACAAAGTAATAAAGTCTTGCAACATTCTTTTTGATGGCACTTGGACGGCGAGAGTATCTGATTTTAGATTGACGTTTGTGAAGAACAAAATGAGAGGAGTGGATTGCATTCATCCCAAGAGGAAATATGCAAATGAGTTGACGCAAGAGAGGGATGTATATGCGCTTGGAGTTGTAATGCTAGAACTTTTAACGGGAAGGAGACCTAATTACAGGTATTGGGATGATAGAGACACCTTATTAGATATGATGGGCGTTGGAGAGTCTGTTGATTGGGGATTTTTTTTATGTGAAGATTTGATGAAAATTTTGGATTTAAAGGTTAGACCACCATCGAATCTGAATGAAACAAGGGCACTACATTTAGTGGCCCGTACCGCTTTGGAGCTTATTAAAGCCATAGATAGACCAACCATGTCTCACGCTGAGCTCAAATTGGAGCAGGCTTTGGCCTTTTGTGAATGGTGATCCTTCGGTACATTCTATACATTTGAAATTTTATGTTACCCTACAAATTTAGGTCTTTTTTTTCCTTGAATATTCAATATTTAAATCAATAGTTTTCATCATTTCACTGTGTCAAAATCAATTAAAACCTTTATGAATTGAACCTGGACTGAGTTCATTCTTTCGTTTGGTTCAGTACATTTCCACGCGCAAAATCTTTTATGCCGAACTTTTTTTTTTAATAACAAATTTTGTTTGTCTCTTTTTCTATTCATCACGTCATATTTCAAAACACTTAATTTGTTCTTTAATGAAAAAGAAGAGAGATGTCTAATTTTACGCTATATTTCAGATAGAATTGATTACAGATTCATTAGTATTTCTACGAGGAATTAGAATCTTTAGGATAAAAATTAATATTTGCATAGAAATGACAACTGTGATGCATCATGAGAATAAAACTCATATCTTGAGTTTTGCTTTTAAAATTATGATCAAATTATGTTTTCTAAAATTAACTTATAAGTTAAAATTAGTTTTTGAAGAAATTAAATAAAAAAGATTTAAGTTGAAGAGCACATGTTAATTTTAATTTATTGTAGAAAAATTAATTTTACTTTATTATTTTCTTCATTGGTGACTATTTATTGAGATAATTATACAAACGAAATCCATATCTATATAATATGATATTTTATTAACTTGTAGTAAAATGCAATAATTCGGTATAAAATTTCTTCAAAAAAAACCTAATGGTTATCTCAGTTCAAAACATTTAATAAGTATAACCTAATCTTTTTAAAACATAGGAATATTTCAGTATGAAATTTCTTCTAAAAAGATTTAGCTGTTGTGTTAGTTTAAGACACTAGTGAGTATAACCTAATCTCTTTTGAGGTCTGAAAATGCCCCTGAATTTATCAATGTAGAGTTCCCAGAATAAATGTCATACTTCTAATCACAATCCAACTAATTATTTTGCATATTATTACTATTAATAACCCTATAAATTTGGCATTTGTGGTTACTGTCACGCTGATTTCACAAATCACCATGTTTTGCCTCAATCACCTGCGGAGGGAACGACTCAACTTCCAACTGAGACTATGTGATCGAGACACGTGTCAACCATAAACCAATACAGTACACGTAATAACCTGGTATTATAATTTAAATTTAATTACAAAATAAAACATAAATATATGAATTATCATATAATTATTTATTTTTTGAATTTTGTAATAATTCTGTTAAAAAAATTGTAATCCCATAACTCACCCAAATGAACTGAACATTTTTTCATTTTTATTTTTGGGAAATATTTGTAAACTTCTAAAAAAATTATGCTAAATATTTTTTTAAAAAAAATATATCTCAAAATAAGTAAATCCAATCACAATAATTTAAAACCCACTGCACTCAAAGGCCAAAGAGCGCATGACATTTGAGTTTGACAGTTAACTTGAGCAGGTGTGAATTTGGCAGAAGTGTGCAAGAGACAAATTCACACTTGAATTCTTTGTTTCATAAACAAGAACAAACTAAGAGACCAAATCCTTGTGATATACAGTACATTAAAAAAGTAGAGAGTGGTGAATTCAAAGCTTGTGGGTGAGTCAATACAAAATCCTTGCCGTGTAATCAAGAAGCATTAATCAATCCGCTGCTTAATTTGATATTTGTTGCCTTCCGTCAACGTGGAAGTCAGCAACGAACTTTCAAAGAGAGACAAATCTATTTGTGCTGGGATGGGGACCATACCACAGTAGTTACAATGGTGAAAAGGATTAGTTTTAGTTTTAGTGTAATTTCTTGGTACCTTCCTAGTCTGAATGAGACCAAATAAGCCCAAGTTTGTCAAACTACCTTCTTCCCCCCAGTGCTCCCACTCTATGTACATACATATACATAAATATACAATCAACAATGCTCTAATAGTTAATTTCTTCCTGATTGAGCCCTAAGGTTCACTAATTTAAAGGCCATAATAACAAGTGCAATGCTCTGGAGAATACACCAAATTCTGATGGACAAAATAAAAAGTTGACAAAAATATTAGCATGATCACATACGCATAAACATGTATCAAGCACTAATGCTACTATAATCTGTCATGCCATGCGCAAATACGTTGTGTAAAATTAAATCGCCAAAAATAGTGTGTAAATGTTAGATGATTTACATACAGTCGTAAATGGATCATATTTCGTGACATTCTACAATATACAACACTAATGCATGATGTTAGATGATTCCCCTAATTTTTACAGGCAGAGTATACCCATATGATATATCAGAAAGAATCAATTTAGTTGTGAAATTGAGAAAGAATCAATAAGAATTCACAAAACTTCCAATATTTTCCCCTCTCTTTACCGGGGTTGGACTATATCATTCTGAAACAACACAGATAGTACCACTGGAAATGTTATCTTGGCTACTATCACAAATAGACAAAGCTCTTTCTAAATTTACCACAATGTCAGCCATGGTTGGTCTATCTTTCCCTTCCAAATTCACACAATGGATAGCTGTATATGCCACCAACTCCACTGCCTCTGCTTCATTCACATCCGGTGGTCCAACTCTTGGATCCAAAATTTTCACCAATTCTCCAGCCATAATAGCAGGCACTGCAAAATCCACCACACTTAATGGGGTACCTCCATCTTCCCCATACTTGAATATAGCTCTCTTTCCCGTTAAAAGTTCTAGCAATACAACTCCAAGTCCATACACATCACTCTTTGCTGTCAACACATTTAGACCATAGTACTCAGGATCAATGTATCCAACGGTTCCCGCTGCCTTCATTGGTCGGTAATCACTGTCAGGTTCTGGACTCATCAACGACAGTCCAAAATCAGATACTCTTGCCGTCCAAGTGGCATCAAGAAGAATGTTGGAAGACTTTATATCTCTGTGAATAATAGATGGAACTGCATAATTATGAAGATATTCTATTCCCCGGGAAGCATCCAAAGCAATTTTGATCCTTATTTTCCACCAATTCAACACACTGCTACCCTTCTCCACATTGTTCTTGTCATGCAAATGATCATACAACGCCCCATTCTTCATGTACTCATACACCAATAGCCTTTCATCTTTCTCTTCACAGAACCCAACTAGTCCAACCAAGTGCTTGTGGTGTAGGCGTGACAAGAAGGCCAGTTCAGAGTCAAATGCACTTTCTTTCTCTTGAAACTTCTTCATCTTGGAACTGGTTTCTCCCCTCTTGATTGCCACCTCGCGACCATCCGCGAGTTTGCCTTTGTACACAACGCCAAAGCTTCCAGCACCAATCTTGTTTTCAAGTGAGAAATTGTTGGTGGCTGCCACAAGCTCAGCCAGGGTGAACTCCTCAGCTCTGTCTGTGTGCTTTGTTGATGAAGTTCCACTCCTCTGCCGTCTCATTATTATTGAAGTCTGACGCATAATCATAGATGATATCGAAGAATTGCTATTATTCGAAGCACCCCCACCATTGGAACCGCTGCTACCTCTAGTGATTGTAGGCTGCACAGAGTTATGAACTTTCTTCTTCCCAAAACAAACTCCACTCCATAAGCAATATACAATTGTGCATATTCCAGCAAAAGCCCCCGCGGAACCAATAATAGCAAATGCTAATAAACCTCTTGTCAAGGTCTTTGATCGAGATGATGATGGCGGCGGCGGTGGCGGTGGCGGAGATGATGGTAATACTGATGGCGGCGGCGGTGGTGGTGGCGAGAGTAATGGTGGCGGTGGTGGAACTATTGTTTGAGGCCTACAAATCATTGGCTTACAAATGTTACCAGAGCCAGAGCATAGAGATTGAGAATCAAGATATGAACCACACTCTCCACAAGAAGATTGAACACAAGGCCCTGGAAGAAAACTTGGCAAAGGAAGCTCAAAACTCGAACTATTAGACCAACCAGGACCCCAACACAGCACAGTCAAATTGTTTGTTGTCAATCCACAAACAAAGTTGGAGCCAGAAACAATTACCTCAAAGGAAACACCTTGTGTAACATTCACCGAGAATCTCCCATTGCCACCCCAACACACAACGGAACCATTCGATCCTCTAATCGCACAACTATGCTCAGCTCCAAGTGCCAACCCACCAAACTCAAAAGCCCCACCTCGAGGAAAATCCACTTGCCCAGAACCGTTACTTCCTTCACACACCAAAAACCCTGTTGAGTTCAACCCACAAACATGCGAACCACCCGCGACAAGACTCAACATGGACATGTTCCCAAACCTATTCTCAATCTCCTCAGAAACATTCGTGTTCCCCCAGCACCGAACCCGAGAATCATTCTTCAAAATCCCGCAAGAGAAGCCAGACCCAGATGAAATCGAAGCGAATTGATCAGACCCAGATGGCAGTTGAAACGTATCACCGGTTCTCCAGCACCGCACCGCACCGCCACCCACTTCGGTGGCGCAAACGTGGGTATCCCCGACGGCGAGATTCTCCAATGGAACAGAACTATCGTTGTAAAGCCGTTTCCTTTCGAAGGAAGAGGTTGTGTCCCAGCAAAGCAAATCGGAGTTACTGGACCTGATGCCGCAGAAGTAGTCCCTCCCACCGGAAATCGTTGAAAAGCTAACGTTGGGAACGATGGGTGTTATGTTCCCTCCATGGTAACACTCAATGCGACGCGTGGACTCCGATGCCACGACGCCGCACACGGTGGCAGAGGCGTCGGAGATTGCGAGGGTGGCGCCGGAGCCAAGAGCATGGAATGAGGGTGGCAGAGAGAGAAAAAACACGGCGGCGACGGCGAGACAGAGGGTGACGGAGGCGGAAGGTGATGTTTTCATTTAAAAGAATGGAAAGTGATGAGAGGGGGTTGCGGTGCCTTTCTCTGCTTCATTGGAGAAGAGAGAGATTGTTGAAGGATAGGTGCAGAGGAGAAAGAATTAAGAGGATGTATGGTGGAAAGTTTCAGGGAGTGGTTGTGGACTGTTGAAAGTTGAAACTGTAATCCAAAGACATGGATTTCTCTGTTCAAACTCTCAAATCCTTCTGCTTAGGTCCTGTTTGGTTATCCTCTCTGTTTTTTTCATATCGTTTTGTGAGTATTTTTTTATTTTTTTATTGTCATTTTACTAAAATTAATAATTTATTATTTTTTTTATTTTTATCTTTAATTACTGTATGTTTGCTGAACAATGTATTTATTTATTTTTAATATTTATTTATTTTTTTTAACTATTTATGTGATGTTAATATTATATTTATGAGGACAATATATTTCTAAAAAGTTACATAACAATAATAAATATACACGAATCAACTATTTCAAGACTTGAATGCAAAAAAATATTTCCTCCATTTTTTTCATTATCTTTAAGGTTATGCACAAGAATTAAGACAATAATTGATATTTTAATTTTTCAAAATATTTATTACATATTTTCCTATTATACTCTTTAAGTGATTAGAGAAGAAATAGGTACATTAAAAAATGAATAGACATATTTTTCATTAAATATGTATTAATTATTAAAGATAAAAAAATTAATAAAATCTGACAAAATAACTATAAAAAAAGGAATAAAAATAAAAAAAATAATAAATAATAAATATTTTTAAAAATTAAAATATTAATTATTTTCTTAAATTTTGTAAAAAATCTTAAACGATTATGAAAAAAAAAAACGTAAGGGAGTAATTAATTCTCTTTCTTCTTATGTTTTTGTTGGATTATTCGCCAACCAAACAGCGCCTACAATGAACCAACCAAAAGGACTTTTTAGGAAAGTAACAGTAATGTAATCAGTTTCATTCATATAACGACCACGTCCACGTGTACCTCGTTGGAAGAAGCAGCGTAACCTTACATAAGAAATGGGTTTAATTATCAGTTTGACCGTAATCATAAAGCGTAAAAAGACTGCGAATCTTCTTCTTCTTTTTTCCTTTTGTATTTTTAAACCATTTATTTATTGTAATTTGGATTTGGATCATTCAATGCTAAAGCAGGGTCTACCAAAATGGGTTTTCAAATTTGGTACCTGAACTAAATAATTTAATGAATTTCGTGTCTCAAGCTGTTAATAATTTTGTATTGTTTACCCCCATCCAAGTAGGTGAATGTTCTAAACGTATATGGCTATGATTTTGTCATGTTTGAAATTCAAAAGTGAGACTGAGACCCAATTAATAAGAGGTGGTCAAACAAAACGACTAGTATTTTGGAGTGTTTGGTTTCAAAGAAAAAACGTAAGAAAGCGAGAGAAATTGATAGAAAATGAGACGGGGTTACTCTCTCTTTCGCAGTTGGATACTTGAGTTCGAGACCAGATCTTGATGGAGATGCGTCAAATAAGTACAATTAAGGACTCGAATTTTAAGTGCTAATTAAAGTTTATCACGGTGAAAACTCCCAACATTCGTCACGCTTATCCTACTCTTTTTCATTTTTTTTAAGAAAAAAGTGCGTAAAATAAACTTTTGCATAGCATGTGTTTCATTAAGCATCTTATAATATTTTTTGTGGGTATATTAATAATATATTCAACGGGAGTATAGTCTGAATCCTCTTTAAAATAATGGTAATAATTTGGGTTTATTTTATGTACCTGCAGTGGTCAGGATGAATTTTTTCTATATATTAATAAGGGGTAGCGTGTACACATTTTTTTATGCTACCAACAATAATTTCAGTAAATACGATCGAATTTCCGAATAATATACGGTAATTTTTCCATTTGCCCTCTGTGGTAGAATATGTAAATTCATACAGTATTCAAGTTACAAACAAACGATGTAGATAGCCGATTTGTGCTTGCAATTAATGAAATTAGGTTTTTCAAACTCTTTTCATGTTATAGATTTGCACAGATAAGTTACTTATTTTTAACTATATGTAATACTAATTTTAGTTTTACCATGTTTAAATGTTTAATATTGAAGTTGATCACAAGATTAATATATAAATATTTTTCTCCTTTAGTACTATAATGTATTTGATAACTTTTGTCTCTTAATCTCAAACAGAGAGATTTATATGACAAAGGTCTTGTTGAGATTAAATATGATTTATAAACATTATATTTTTTCTTAACTTATTAAAATTTCTTTTAAAAGATAAAAAATTTAGCAATTCAGTAAGTATTAAAACAAATAATATCTAAGATATAGTGATTTTAAAGATGTTAATATGTTTAAGGTTGAACGGTTTCACTTTTATAATAATGTGAATTTAATTTTTTCAGTTTTTAAAATTAAGTAATTTTAATTTAACCATCGGTAATTTTTTGTTGATTATAATTATGTGTCATGGTCGAATATAGTGTGACATGTTATCGTTGATATAAATTATTGACATACCACTCTTAATTAAAATTTTGGTTCTCTTCCCTAATTCGTAATTTTTGCCTTTTTTTTCTTTTTATTAACTAAACAAAGTTAATTAGCTTCCCAATTTTTAAAATTAAATAACTTTGATCTATCCATTAGTTCGTTGTCCATGATTAACTCTAATATATCATGGTTGATTATGACATGATGGTAAATGTTGATGTAGAAGGTTGGTGATGACGCTAATATGACACTAACATTCTAATACCACTTGCTAATTTAAACGAAAATGAATATGTTTACATTTATTGTATGAAAACTATTAAATATTAAGATAATAAATTCATAATTTTCGTGTTAAGTCACATATCCCGCATCAAATCGACATTTTTAAGTTTAGAATTTAATATCGATTATGTTATATCAAAGTCGATTATGTTATATCAAAATCAATTAATAAAATGACTAAAATTGCTTAATATAAAAGAACTGAAAAATTAAATTTATACAATTAAAAAAAACCAAAACTGTATATTAGAAATTATTTTTTTAAAAAACTAAAGTAAGTGCAATTAAGAGTGTCAGATCAAACATTCACAATAAGTTTAATTATGTCATGCCATAATTAACTAATGAATAGGGAAAAACTACTTAAATTTAAAAATTTAGATATTAAATTTACACAAATAAAAGAAAAGGACCAAAATCTTGAATTAAATATTATAAGATGAAGAACATCATTAGCCTATATATATATATAAAGAGAGAGAGATTTTATTAATGAAAGAAATTTAGGTATAGATAGAAAATTTATATATGCATATTCATATTCATTTTTGAATGAAATTAATTTCTTACGCAATCTATATGATTTGTTCAATAACATTGTGATAGCCAAATATATACATCAATTGGTTTGAAACTCTTTCAATTTAATCAGGATTTTGAGTTTAGATTTCAGGTATGTATTTATATTAAATAATAAAAATAACTTTATCAAATGATTTTACTCGACTCGACTCAAACAAGATATAATGTAAAAGATACATATATTTATAATAATAATAATAATAATAATAACATTGCTTAAACAAATAAATAGTTAAACTACTGATAAATTAAGTGTTATATTACTTAAACATTACATTTAAATATACTTATAGTTTCTATAAAATAAATAAATTTTAATTTTAGTTTTTGCAAAACATTTTTTTTTTATTTTCATCCTTGAATATTTGAATTTATTATTTTTTAAAACATTTATTTTAAAGTAAATAATTTAAGAATTAAAAAGCATTTTAGTTGTATCCCTTGTTAACATATTATACCACATTCGCTATAGTTAGTAGTTACATTTAAAATAATTATTTGACTTTTTCATTAAACACAAAAATTAAGGAGAGTCACATAATAATAATATTAACCAAAAATAATAATTTCAATCTTTTTAGAGATAGAAGTCAAAAATAAATTATAAAAATTAAGTCTATTTTTTAAATTAAGAGTGTTTCTTTGACCAGAGAATTTATAGAAATTTTTTTTTACTTTTTATTAATTTATTTTTTATTTAAAATATTTATTTATAAATTAAATATTAATATTTTAAAATAAATTATCAATAAACAAAAATAATTTTATACTACGATATAAATTATTTATAAATTTAAAATATAATTTATATG